ACGCAATGGAAATTGAAATGTTCTTCTTGCCGATCGGCGTGTTAGGCGTTGGGTTTCCTTGAAAAAATAAATAAATACAATTTTCCAGGGAAGGAGTGAAATTCAAAACTTTCCCCACACAATTTACGTGGTTTACTGTTTACGTGCGTTTGGGTTGATGATATTAAACTCGATGGGGTTATTATTATTATTATCAGAGGCATAACTATTTCAAGTGCGAATAAAGAACAATTGAGTATGAATTTCGTATCCCCCTCCGAGTTTCATCCCTTCGAGATTTTCACTGGATGAATAGTCGATTCGAGGGAAGAAGACCTCGGGTGTAGAAGGAACCAAAACACTTTCGGCATCGAATCTTTCCGTGAACGAGGGTAAAAACTAGGACGAGGGCCCACGTCCACCCTCGAGTGACATCTATCGGCGTTTCAGCGAGACTCTGACTCGCACATATGTCCCCGTACTTTTCTCCTGCTTCCCGGCGACCAAATTTGAGACCGAAGAGTATGATGGTTCGAAATGAAGCCCTTGGTTCCTTTCTGATACTTATTTTGTACCAGATTCTCTTGTCCACCCGGCAGTCGAAAGGTGCGTGATTCATTACAAAATGTCATTCTAACAATTGAATCAGGAAACAAGATTGGGCGTCGCTCTCATGTTCTGAACATATATTCCAAGTCCAATTCTCGTTTTACAAACCGAATCTCGTGGATTTCGATTGATCGCACAATTTACTGACATATTTGCATTGAGGTTTCCCCTATACCTAAGGGGGAAAGGCACAAGGTTTAGGGGTTTTTTAGATTCGGAGAATTTCCACGTCCACCAAGTGAGCTTGCATGCCAAGTCAGCCCAGTCTAATCTTTTCATCATTCGTCAGGTCAGAACGTTTAGAGCATGATTGCTCAACATGCATGCGACGTATTGCATCACACTGCATCAGTCCAGTTTAAGTACCTTAAGTAAAGGTTTGTATTTCATAAATCTCTGGAGATCTCCTTCACAGCTGAGCGTATGAAGGAAACTTCGAAGGTGGAAGAAATGAAATCTTCCCAGGGACAGATTTTCTCATTTCATGTTGCCCTCATAACTGAATTTTCTAATTGTATTATCCTTTCATTTCGTCTGCTTTTTTGAAAATTTCGTCCTGTTCCATTCATTTTTTTTTTGGTCTCAGCTCATCATTCATCAAAAACGAGTCTCTCTCGTCCGTCGAGCCCAGACCCCCAAGGAGCCGCGGAACGAGGAACCGTGACCCGCCGCCCTTCGCTCGGTCATCGCGGATTAAAAAGGCTGCGGGAAATTCCGTCTCCACTCGAGTCGGAGGAAAAAAGAGCTGGAACCCGGCGTGGGAAACGAAGGGGGAGGGAGATGACGGGGGAAAACCGCTGCCTTTCTAATGGCAGGTATCAGCTACCATTCACGAGAGGGGGAAGGAAGGAAAAGGAAAAGAAAAAGACAACAGGCCCAGGGGCCACTAAGTCTTCTTCAGTAGTTCCTTCTAAACGGCTGTTTATTGGGAACCCCGTAATAATGCAGAATGGAGAGAACTCCTGTTTTCCCGCACTCTATCATTTTTTAATTTGTAAAGGGAGGTGCCCCCCAAGGACAATGGAGGGAATTGTAATGTAAGAATGCTTCCTTCCCTCCAATATCTAAATATTGAGACCCGCCTGTAATGACGGCGCTCCAGGAAACACTATCAGAGAAACCTAGCATTACCTTCGAGATATACGATCCACGAAACGTATTATTACGGCTCTCCCATCCGAATTTAAGATTAATATCTATAGTTTTGACAATTGGTTTCCTTGCCTGAGGCCATGCGGCGCTTACTCTAATGTGGGGTGTCGGCCGGGGTAATTGCTAGCTTTGCAATGCTACACTGGGCAGACGTGTCTTTGAGATGATATGTGGCCCGGTTGCACGAAGGTGAGAACTATACGGCCTCGTTGCATGCCATCTGTATTGGCTCACCCTCCCCTGTGTTACCGGGATTTCATCCATTCGCCGCTGCGAGTCCCTGGCACGCGGAGGGCGGGTGTCGTCTCGAATGAGAGCAATGACAAAAGGGTGGAAGATTAAAAGTCATTGAACAAGGATGTCAAAAAAACCGAGACATCGAGAGTCACCATTCCAGTGAAACGATCTCGCGACAGAAAAACAAGTGAATCGAAATCAGAAGTCGATAATGAGGGAATTGCAAGTGTTTGACGTACGAGTCATGCATAAGGTATGTCATAGGCGGGAGGGCTGCAATAGAGAGAAGGGGCAACATTTTGATTTCATACCCTCGAGGGGACTCATCATCACAGTGCCTCAACTAAGGTTCCACCCTTGACAGCTCCTTGCTCCCTCAGGAAACGGTTAATAAAAAACCACGAACAAAAGCGTCGACTTGAGGGACTCATCGTATTCTATCTCCATGTCGAATCAAAACTCCAAAGGTCGAAAATAGCTGCAAAGGCATAGCATAAAAATCGTCATAATGCGTGTCGACAAGGCGATTCCTGGAGGAATCTTTACCCTTATTTTCACACCTAGGAACATCAGGTTTGCCTTTTTCGTCGTTGGAGTGCTTCAAAAAATCAGGCACACTCGTTGCCTTTTTGGTGTGGTTAGCTCTGTGATACATACCAGTGGCGGATACGAGGGGGAGGGGGGGGCCAGTCACCCCCCCCCCCCCCCCCCCTATGGTCAGGTTAGCATTCTATTTATTCATTCAAACTAGCATCTACATTGAATTTTATTGGCGCCAGTGAAATAGATATTTAAGTTTTTACCCCAGGCGAAAAATGAAAAAGGAGATAGGACGATGAATGGTGGTAGGCGAGGGGTTAGGGGGGGGGGGGGGGGGAGGAACTTAGGAACCCCTCCTATAAAAAATTTCTGTATCCACCACTGATACATACCCTAACTCAATGCGACAGCGCGTGCACAAAGAAAAGGGATTCCCTCGATTGTGAAAGGAGCGAACTTACAATCTAACAGACAATACCATGCAAACTGCACAGACTTACTCTTTTGGTGGAACAGGACAGGAATTCTTGTCATTTCAAGTGGTAGCTCTGGATCTGGCTATGGACCAATCATGCAGCTGACTGGATGAAACAGTAGACTGTTAAGACAGAGTCGACATCTATCCAGCTATCTTCAAATCATTGTATTCGCCTCTTGTCGCTAGTTGTCGGAAAGCCTGACACGTGCTTATGATGGCACCGTCCGACAGGCCGCGTGGTTCTCCTGTTTGTAATCGTGTGCCTACAATAGGAAACGAAATGATAGGCTATCAGGCGCCCGGAAAGAGGCCTACAAGGAGTTTTCCCATCATGGGGGCGGAGGATAGGTCAAAAGCCAAAAGATAGGCCTAGGTAGAAATATGTATTAAAGAAGTGTTACAAGTTCACGTGCTACCGTGTTTTTCACTTGAGTCAGACAATTTCTCACTTGACTTGGACACCTGTGCATGGGATGTGCCGCATTCACGAGTGTCTGAGTCAATTGGAAAAGGTTTCCAACTCAAGTGAAGAAATAATCATTCTAGGCTGAGATTTATACCCCTGCATCCATAGGGGCTTATGGGGCTCGAGCCCCCCCCCCCCCCCAAAAAAAAAAAAAAAATGCCTCCAGGGCATACATCTGAAACTTGTCCCCCCCCCCCCCCCCCCCCCCCCCCCCCCAAAAAAAAAAAATAATAAAATAAAATTGCCGAAATTGGCTCGCAGCGAGGACAAGAATAAGGAATACTTGGATTACTGTCTCTGAGCCCCTCCCAAATTTCTCAACAAATCGCTGCCTATGCCTGCATCTATGTTATATATGCATATGTGAACTAGACTGTGCCTGTCTCAGTTAAAATTTGTACAATGTTGAGAGGTTTGCATATCATAAAGGGCTTCAACGATTGAGGCATGCAGGCTCTGGCCTACCTGATACCCATTGCAGTTTCTGAATTTAATTTCTTTGTTTTTCCTGAGACCTTCATTTAGGTTTTTTTTTTAATCTGTGTGGGTAGGCCTAGATGACTTCTTGATATTAGTATTAGCATCTAACATTAGGATTTGGTGTAAATTTAGTCAAATCTAAAGTCAGCTATTGTACATCTTGTGAACACCATGTACACCTCGAGTTCGTTATGTGAACACCTACTATAAGCATATGTGTACACCTTATACAGGGCTATGTGACCACCCCTCATAGGCCTGTGAACACCTATCTTGTGTACCCCTGTACACCTGACGGGAACACCTTCCCGTTCCTGCCCATTACCCTACTACAGGGTCATCGTGCGACGTAAATGACGAATGCCGAAATGCATGCGATAATTTTTATATGCAATGTCAGTCAATGGAATGGATGATACATTGATAGTGGTCGTAGTGGTGATGTCACTGAGGGTACCGCTGCCGTGTGTTGCTACTATTGCTATATGTGCAATACAGTCAACTCTCGTTAATCCGAATGCCAGTAATCCGGATCTTCCATTAATCTGGACTTTCCAGCAAAATACATATAATACAATAGAAAATAAAAGATTTCCCTGTCTTTTCCCCTTTACTTTCCCTCACCCTTGGATTTAAAATGAATAAATAAAGAAACATTTGATCTCCCCAATTTCCTGGAACCGAGTAATGAGGCACCTTCATTTTGTGCGGTTTTCTTCTTGCAAAAAAAGAAGAAAAATGAATGGTCACTCGGGTAGGGACTCGATAATTCAGAAAAATCACTAGTCCCCTCGAGTCCAAATTAACGAGAGTTAGACTGTATATGAGAATTAGAAGTCGGCATTCAGCTCCAGTAGAAATAAAAATTCCCGGCAGATAGCCTCGCACGGAAACTGTAAGAGAGCGCTGGGGAGGCGCTTCAATATGGCGCATTTAATAGAAAATGGCTAAGATGGCTTAATCAAGGCTGGAAAAGATATATTCTAGGCCTCCTCCACCCATGCTTTATACTTAGTTAGTACATGGCTATAGTCACAAGGCGAAGACTGGGCTTAAAGGATGGGTGTACACAGGGTGTACATGGTGTTCACAAGACGTATAATAGCCGGAAAATCTATGTTTGTGAAAAGAACATTCTTTAAATATATTTAATAATTACATCATGATTGTTTAAAGCATCATGATCACTTATCAGATATGTTAATGTGGACACTATCATGTTCATAGCACAGAATAAAGCACCCTCATGACCCGTGTGACATAATATGCAACATAGCTAGGGAGATGAGTGCAAATTTGTGTAAAGCCTCTCTCAGTTCCTCTGTTGTGTGAAGACACTGTTTCGACTCTTGCTCTTTGACAAATCCCCAGAGTAAGCTATCGCAGGATAGGAGATCTGGACTTCTGCTGGCCAGTTCAGTGATGCTGGGAAATTAGCTGAGCCATGGTCCATCCACTGGTTCTTAACATGTTAACTGTTGTGGGTTTTTTTTCCACATTTCAAAACCCTCTCTCTCTGAGGTCAAACCTACAGGATTGACTGGAAAAATAAGCCACTCAAAACTCAGATATCTTCACTGATTGACTTTAATGGGATGTCAATATGTTCAAGAGCTAAAATTTCATGCATGTATGATTATCTGTGCTTGAGTGATGACAAATTTTTTTTTAGAGTGAACAGTGAATTTTGAGTGAACAGTCATGTAACTGCCACTGAGGCAGGTTCAAAGGCTTTACATACTTTCTTTTGGCTTACTTTTTTTTGGGCAAGCCTGTAGTACATAATAAGAAATTGGCCAATTTGAGATATTCTTTTCATTATTTTACTTGTCATAATTCACTGATGACATCACCATTGTTGGGTTCCTTAGGATACCTCTGGGCTTAGGTCCTTGTGGTGTTACATGCCTCTCAACACGACCAAATAACTGGTGATTCACACTGCCATTGAAAACATATGGACCAAGGAGGTGTTAGCTAGACATTGCTGCCCAAATCATTACATGTGGCAGGTTATGATCCAATTCTTAATTATAATGGGGGTTTTCTTCACTTCAGAAAAAGTTTATTGTTCGTGAGCTTTGATAAATTGTACATTTTTGTCAGAATATATGACTATCACATTGTGGAAGTGTGCATGAGCTTTGTGTCTATTCTGAATGTCACTATCACTCAGCTCAAGAACATTGATCAATATACTTTCAAGTTCAGATCAACTTCCATTTGCTTTTACATCATTGCTTTGGGTATTCTGAGTTTTGAAGACTTCTTGCGTGGTGACTTTCAGGCCGACCTCTGCGATGCAGCCACAGTTACACACTTCTGCTGTCTTGTCAATGATAGTCCAGTCTGTGGTTTTTCCTTGATACTTCCTGTAGGACTTTCACCATTGTCTTGCCAGCGTGGGTTTTTTTGGGAGCCCATATGCTGACTACTATCCATTCTTCTATCGTGTAATTACTGGTGTCTGCCATCTTTCATTGCTAAGGATACACTTGCTAATCTGAAATGAGAATCATGAATAAAGAAATATTTGGGGTTACAGGACCTTGTACGAGGTATGCACCCTGTACAAATGTTTTGATCATGTGGAGCTCTCCCTGACATCGTCAAAGCACATGGTCGCTCTCTGACATGAACAAGTCCTGCCAACATGTCATGGTCAAAGTATTAGAATTTCAGTGATCAACCTCAGAATCTATTAAAAACTTTCCTCTGAGTGGAACTCTTTCAGTTGTCTCTGAGGAGACTGAGTGGGTTGTTGTCTCTTGACATCTGAGTATTTTTAAAATGTTTACACTCAATCGGTATTTTTCCATCACTCAGCATCCCCTCTGTCTGAGGAAAAACCAAAACCCTCCTGAAAGTAATGGGAGTATACAGGGTGATTAAAAAAAAGTCCCCCATTTAAAATATCTTTGGAAATGATAGTTTTCAAGTTATTACAATAATTTTTTCACTGCAATGTAACAAAGCACAGAATTTTAATTATTAAAATGACATGAACATGTGTTACATATTGCATGCTCAATTTCAGTATCTTATCTGATGTTCAATCCAGGCAGGTAACATTTGGCCACCATATTCCCCTAATCTGTCCCCTCCAGATTATTTTCTTTTGGGGATACTTGAAGGGGAGAGTGTATGCCAATAACCCTCCAACCCTTGGAGCATCAGAATACAACATTTGGAGAGAAATCAAGCGAATTCCAGGAGAAATGTTAGATAGGGTAATTGATAACTTCAATGTCTGAGTCACAGCAGTGATCCAGTGCCAAGGTGCCTGGATTGAACTTGTAATAAGATATTGAAATTGAGTGTGCAATATTTTACATGTGTTCATGTTGTTTTAGGAAATAAAACTCTATGCATTTTTTTTACATTGCAGTTAAAGAATTATTGTAGTAACTTGAAAACTATGATTTCCAAAGATATTCAAGATTGGGGATTTTTTTGGGTCACCCTGTATTTAATTCAGACTTTTGGATAAAGATTTTTCATTTATTTGTGTAACTTGGTCTTTGAACCAAGTTGGTTCAGAATATGTATTGGTGTGCCTGAACCCTCAAAACTTTCATATCTTGTGAGCATGTGAAATGTGACAATATTGTAGACACCATGACCCCCACTCTTCCCCCAGGCTCCTTGGTGGTATCGCCAAAATACTGCTGTATTGAGCTACCTTTCTATAAATTTATCGCATACTGTGTGGCCCTTCTGCTGACAGTAGTGCTGAGAAAGGTAAATTTATCCCTCCACCCCCCCTCCCCCCCCTCCCCCAACTCAGCAAAGCAAGAGAAGAACATATATAAATGTTATTGCAAATGTGTATACAATACATGGCTTGAGTAAATTTCTCTCTTTGGCTAAGATGTATGTTGAATGATGGCATTGAGTTTGCTGTCAGACTTCGTTCTGTTCAGAGAAAATGCAGATTCTTTTCTTTTCCAGCCTAAATAAGTAGGTGCATTTAGTAAGCAGGCACTGAAATCTCTCATTGTGGCTGACACTTGCAATGAATTCGATGTTGTCATGAAGTACCTTACTGGATGTTCTTGCATTTTTTATTTATGAGTCAGGTCCTCATTTGTGTTGCATGCCCAATGGTTAGATGATTTTCTTATATTGAAGCCTGCACCCCTAATGAGGCCTATTATTAGGAAGCTTTTTGACTAGTTTGGAATGTAGTATGCCCTAATTAGTACATTATAATGTGAATGGCAAATGCCTAGTGTAATGTTGGCCTAGCTTGGAAGTAAGAACACTTGAGAATTCTTGAAGGACTCAAACCTGTGCTCATTGAGAATCTGGACTGATGTCTTTCCAATTCAAATATAGGGTGACCTTGCTTTTCAACTCTGCTTCCTTTTACAATTTTACTTATCAGACTCATTATCATTATGTTCAGGCTGACTTTTGTGTAATGTAATCTGCTTTCCAGATTCCTGAAGCTCTACTAATCCAAATGTTACTATGTTTCAGCTGAACAGATCAAGTAAGACTCTTAAGGCAAGATGGATCGAGTGCTGTCAAGGGAAGCAATTATAGATGCTGTATCAAATCTGGAGGTGAGGCATAAGTTCATGTTACTTGATTGGTCAAAAATTGTGTCACATGAAAATGTTGTTAATGTGTCTGCTATTGATTGTAACTTGTTAACATTGCATGTTATAACAGTGAACTAGCAGAATTAATACATTCAGGATGTTCAAGCAGTGCAGTGATATCATTAGACTTGGAGTAATCTTGTATATTAACACGTTGACGACCAGCCTATTTTTACTTGTCCACCGCGTGGGACCATGCGCATTTTTTTTGTCAAAAAATGTGTCCTGCCATCAGGACACATGGTCCCAGAAAACATTTTTTTTGCTGAGTTTTTTTTTAAAATGTTGAATTTTTTTGAATTTTTATCAGTAATTACGAAATCATAATCTTCTGGAACGTTCTTCTGGAACGTTCTCAACAGTTCCAGAGGGTATTCATTGAAAAGAAATCTGCATCCTGGCATCAGGACGCATTGTCGCCAACATGTTAAGTATGAAGAAAAAAAGCCATAAGGTAGTAAGAAACAAACTGAATAAGCCACAGTTCTTCTATTTTATAAAATAGGTTTGTATGAGTTGCTGTTTATTTATATAAAAACACCTGGCAATATTCTTTCTTGGAGCAGAGGAGGATAGGGGGAGGAAAAGATGTAACTAAGGGCAGCAGAGATAGAATATTTATTTTTAGGACTTTGGAGAAAATTAGATAATGCTCCAGTTGTTTTTCTTTTATAGTCATTTGTTTATGGTTTTTCTATCTAGTTCATGGCTGGAAATTTTTTTTTGTGCTGGTTTCCAGTTAACCATACCTCTTTGTATTAAAACCTGATTGGACAATATCTCTTTAGGAATATAGAGCATATTACAAAACAAAGAGAAAACCATCATAGTCTAATTTTCCCATTTTTCCAGGATTCATTTTCATTTGTTTGAAGCCCTGGCTATAAGGTTTTTTACCCCTGACCAATAAATTAACACTTTCCTAATGTGTCATGTGTCAAGAGGTTCCTTGTATTCAGTTTTATGAATCTCCTTCCTCTTGATAGGAAATTGAAACTTGGCTGTCACGGTGCTTGGAGTTGTATGCAAATTCCACAACTGATTCATCATCTTCTTCCTTAAAGACTCCTCATAGGCGAGGAAGAGCTACTAAATCAAAAAGATCACAAAAAATTGAACCTCCAAAGGCAAACTTCAGCACTGGTAAGTCTGTTTCCAATGGAAATCCTTACTGTATGTGATATTTTGGTTAAAAAAATTTTTTTAGCACTTGACTATGATTTCACTTTTGTGGAGAAACATCCTGGAGTAAATTTTTGGATAGGTAGAAACCTCATATGCTTCGTCACTGAATCTTCATTATAAAGATATGTCCATGTGTGAAAGAGAAATTATAATTAGCTTGTGACCAATGTGATAATTGAGACTTCTTTTGTTCCCCATCCATTTTCCCAGACAAAACAATAATTTTTTCTTAGGTTAGTTCAAGGGACAGATGGATGGAGTGTGTAAATAATATAAAATCTACATTTTCCTGAGGTATAGAGGCATGGAACAAGTTCATTGCAGAATAAAGACTGCTTTAATGTTGTAGAATTTTATATTGCATGACAACTGGGCAAAATGTAGTTGATTTTGGTTATTGAATTCATTGATTGCAGAAAGCCTTAAAAAGAAATGTGTCATGCCAGCTGGAGACTTGTAGCCAAAACTTTTTACTTCCAATGGTATTCAATTGACTTTTAATCCCATTTAAATCTCAATTTAATAACAGTCATTGTGATCCAAGTTTGAACTATTTCTTCACATGGGTTAAAACCTGAATGATCCCAGAATTGTATAAGGGCAGTTCTTAAGTAATTAGAGCAAAATGGTTTTAAAATGCTTTTCAGAAATTCTCTCCCAACTTATTTTTTCTGCATTTTTTGGATACTTAACTTAAACAAAATAAGGGATCCACAAAACATGCATCACTTGACATAAGATAGAGAAGCATAAGCTTTCTACCGCAAGCTCCATTTTAATCAATTTAACATTTGCTTTGTGAGCCTTGTTTTAGACAATTTATTTATGTCAGTAATGCTGGAAAACTCTCTGAGACACTTCATTTTTAATCAACAACAATTGTTATTTGGCATGAAGAGATGTGATGGCCAATGTTTTCCTCCCTGAAAATATAGAAGCTCCAGGTCTAGCCAAGTGAGACAGAATTGGAAAGGAAGCAGCAGAATGAAAACTGTTTAAACTATATAATGTCAGTAACACAAAATGAATTGCCTTGCTTTTCTTCTTACATGAGAGAAAAGAGAAAATTTTGGTTGAAATAGGTGCAAATATACAGGGTGGCCCAAAAAAAACAGCACCAATTTTGATCAGTAATAACTTTTGAACAAATAAACCTTTTTTTGTGTTCGAAATGGGAATTGAAAGGTCTGATAATCCTCTTTCCGTTGCCATATCATTTATCAAATTTTCCTCAACAGAACTGGAGCAATTGCAATTTAAGTACAAGCACCCAAAAAAGTGGATGAACAAGGCTGGCTTCTTGCTAAAACCCTTTCTGTATGCGGCATCCTTGGGCATCCTACAGCGATTTTCCGTTGCATGCTTGCAACTGCCATGTCTTTCAAATTTCATCCATTAAAAGTGCATTTAAAAAGTTCATTCTGGTCATTTTCATGGTTGCTATTCAAACGATTATTGATTCAAAATCGGTTCAAGTCCTTCTTTGCTATTCACTGAACTGAAGACTGCAGAATGCCTGTTTCTTTCTAAATACACCACACACTTAAACTGGTGCCTGGTTTGCCTTCTTGGCTGCAAACAGTGAACTGACAGTCTTGATGTTTTTTTTCTGTACGATCAGTTTTTGGATGCCCACTGCCTGGATGACATTTTCCACTTCCATAGTCTTGAAGTTTTTTTTTTTTAATCTTCAACTGTTCTTTGTTTCCATTGGCGATCTAGAAACTGTGAGAATTTGATTCAGAGAGTAATTCTTTTCCTGAGGCAGCACAGTTATCAAACACTTGTCACTCTCGCTCAAGACCATTTTGAAGGGTGCAAAAATCTAAAATCAAATTTTAGAGAATAAAATTTAAACTTGAAAATCAAAGAGAATAATTAAGTTCAAATGAAGAATAAACACTACGTTACACTGAAGAAAAACATGTCTGACCGCTGAAACTCAGTATGAGAGCAATTGAAAATAATTGACCAGCGAGACAATGGCGGCATGCTCACAAAACCAGTTTTGAGTCAATAATCGTTCGAATAGCAACCATGAAAATAATTGGAATGAACTTTTTAAATGCACTTTTAATGGATGAAATTTGAAAGACATGGCAGTTGCAAGCATGCAACGGAAAATCGCTGTAGGATGCCCAAGGATGCCACATACAGAGAGGGTTTTAGCAAGAAGCCAGCCTTGTTCATCCACTTTTTTGGGTGCTTGTACTTAAATTGCAATTGCTCCGGTTCGGTTGAGGAAAATTTGATAAATGATATGGCAATGGAAAGAGGATTAACAGACCTTTCAATTCCCGTTTCGAACATGAAACATTTCATTTGTTCAAAAGTTATTGCTGATCAAAATTGGTGCATTTTTTTGGGGCCACCCTGTATATGTTCTACTAGGCATTGTTGAAGTAGAATTTCTAGATTGAGCCATCTTTCACTTATACCATCATACTTGTTTTCATTTTGTGTCTGGTGTTACATCAGTAACTTATGAGAACCTATGAGAAGAATTGTTCTAAGGGCCTGAGGCTGTAGCCAACTTTTTTATTTTCCTTTACCTTTGTGGTCATCTATGGTGTTAATGTTCTTCAGTTACCATTCCTAATAGTTTCAATAAATTAAATTATTTGTGGAGGTACTTTCATGCTAACCCAGTGATGAAATATTTTGTTTGCTTTTTGCAGGTTTTGTGAGAAACCTTTCAAGTGCTGGGACATCAATATCTACCTTTGTAAGTATCAAACCATGTCAAGTCATGTATTTTAGAAGTAGAACTGATTCAAAGAAAGCCCCTAATTTTGCATAAAAAATTCAAATAGTCTTATTGCAAGAGGCATGTCTGAGTATTTATGAGACCCACTGCTAAGGGTTTAGGTTAGTAAGCTAAAGGGGTATGTAATTTGGCTGTTTTTATAGGCAAGTATTGGGTGTTCCAGAAGTTTTCAACAGTTTATTATGGGTCATGTTTTCTGTAGTAAGAAGGTAGTTAGGTTTTGTACTTGTCTCAACAAGTTCAAAAATTTGGGAGACTGTCAATTTTGCCACAGAATACACTCAATGCATCTGCCATTCTGTTTCCTGCATTCATGGAGTCTCATAGCAAGAGTGATTTGCTCACTAACATCCTGAGTGATGCCTTGGACTCATTATCATTTTCTTTCAGCACTGCCAATTTTGAGGTTTTAGCGCATAAGCAGGAAATCCATAAAAATAGTAGTGCAGTGGCTATGGTACCGTTCTGCTGGAACCATACGCAGAGGGAATACTGAAAGGGACATATTTATCACACAAGGTGTTCATGAGGGTGTCCTAGAGAATTCTGCTGTAAGATTTCATGAGTGCAAAATTCAGAATGGATTCTCATGGTGGATACATGCAGTATATTCTTTGGTAAAATTGGGGTGGTACAAAATCTCTCAATGAAGCTGAGATTTGTCTGAATCATGTTTGCTGAATTGGGAAGATAGGATAAATTTAAATTGCTGTGTAACTTTTAGAACACCCTGTCTTTGAAGTTGCTACCTTTAAATCCCTGGAAAGGCAAGGGCTGATCAAGCAATTATTATATTATTAAGGACTGGGATGGTAAATTCATACAGGAAATGTTCTTCACATTTATGCCAATGGAACAAATACACTGCAGGTACTCTCACTATACTGTGCTTATATCTTCTCACTTCATGTTCCAGCATTCCTATTTCTATCACTCTCCATACCTGGGGATAGTAAAAAAAAAATGTGGGTGACACTTGGTATAGACTCAGAATTTTCTTTTCATTTTTTTTGTTAGTACACAATGGTTGACACCTAAGTTAGAAGTTGACCCTTTATTGTATGGTGATTTTTACTATGTATCATAGAACTTCTTCCTCTCTTCCAAGCCTGGAGGAGGGCTGGCTGGCCCCCATCTCACAAGCCTGACACTCCCTACTTGGCTCAATCCATAAAACATAAATCTAAGCCATTTGTACAACTATCCTCACACAAATGTAACAGAACCAACATGTGGCAGGTAGTACTTTCATCCCTGGGTAGGTGAGATATGCCACAGAGGTTTGTGCGGAAACAATCAAATACCTGTGATATACTCTTGGGGACCTGCACAGAAGTGTGGAAGCATGATGATTGTTATTGTTCTCTCTTTTTTTTTTTCATGCCTTTTGCCTTCATGTATCTATATTTAGTCCAAGACACCAAGCTTATGGCTCTTACTTCCTGTCCTTACTTTCTTCAACTGAGACCTAGGCATGAGCCTAGTGGGTGGAAGAGATTGTATATATATGTGTGAAGTGTTAACTGGATGTGGTATAAATGGAAAAGGCCCACAAAATTGATGTCTTCCTAACAACCAGGATCCACACAGATACAGGGTATGAATGTAAAACTGCAGCACAGGAACACTTACAACCAGTCAATTTATTATAAAGGGAGTAAATTCGATGTTTGGGAGGCATAAAGCCTCCTTTCTTGGGGAGTGAAAAATCTTGTTGAAAAAAAAAAATAAAGAATATAGGAGGAACAAAAGGTGATAACAAATTAAAAAAAAGAGCAATATAAATATCAACTAAGGGTGAAGTCATGTGAGATAAAATATGATCCCTTTGCATTATTTTTTTACAGTCAAATCCTGGTCATGGCAGCAACCAAACTCTTGAAAGTTATACCACCTGACATGGAATGACTCAGCTTCCACTCTGTTTAGGAGGAACAAAAGGTGATAACAAATTAAAAAAAAGAGCAATATAAATATCAACTAAGGGTGAAGTCATGTGAGATAAAAAATTTTAATGATAGTTAATTAAAATAAAATTGGAAGAAGTAAGGTTGTGAAAAGGGTAAAAGGGTAAAGTATTGTTCACTGGATGTTAGATAGGTCACTAATTGTAGGAGTACTATTCCATTTAAAATTGATTGGTTTTTATGAGTAGTGGAGTTGAATCTCCCAAAGCTTGAGATCCTTGCTCATTGTGCAGTATGCAATGCAATATGGAACCTTCGCATGCCATGGCTAGTTGACTTCCTCCTCTTGTTTGAATGAAAGGCAAAAGTTTCACTTCTCTGTGGTGTACTTTTGCTTTCTCCTATGCAGAGGTGAAAGTTGCTTTGTGAAATGTTAGTGCTCCATATCGGAAAGCTTTCTTGTGAAGGCAATGAAGAAACAGTAGGCCTCTTCCACGCCAAAAAATTTTTCATTTTTATTTGTAATTTGACTTCCAAAGAAAGCTTTCTCTGTGATAATACCCTTGACAGGTAGAAGAATGTTATTTGCAAGATTTGCGCATTTGATAATGCTTTGAAGAAATATTTGAAAGTATTCCTTTAAAGAATTCTATTTTCTTAGCTATGCTATTCAAGAAGACTTGTCATTTTCCTGTTATTAATGCTGCCCCATCTCTCTTAACCTATTCATGTTTCTCAGAAATGCTTACTTTATTTTTTTCTGTTTCTTGTTTCATTATAGTGTCAGGCATTATTTATATTTTTCCATCTCTATATTCCACCAATTTGTATCTGATATGTCAAGAAGGCAGTACACAGTATATTCTTCAATTTTCGAAGTTCATATATTATCATAGGACAAAAAATGTGTATATGGGACAGAAGGGCCACAGAAACCTCAATCCAATGTTGTTCTATGTCCATTAATGGAGCAATCATTCCTGTTGGCATGTAACAGTTAATAGCTGCATCCTGCATGCTAAATATCATTGCTGTCAATGTGCTTGCATGGCATTATCATGTAATTTTTTGTCTTGAAGGTTTTTGTTTTTCTTTATTCATTATTTGATGAATTTGTGATAGTGATTTAATGATTTATATCTGGTAATTAATTCTGTTGTGATGCAGATGTTTAGGCCTCCTGGAACTCAGGCATCATGGTTTTAGAGGTGGCATTGTAGAACAGGGATCAGGAAGGCTACTTCATAGTCATCAAGTTCCAAGTGTCCTATGGTTCAGTGCATGAAAGGGAATAGCAAAACAGGTTTTTTTCCTCCCCCCCCCCATCTGCTTTGAAAATTTCACCATCAAACTAGAAAGGAATAAGTGCTGAGGAAAAGTAATGTTTTATTTTCATTTTATCTCCCTATATCAGTAGTCTCCAAACTTTTTGGGTCAAGGGCCTCATGGACACTCTGGTCTTGAGAGGGTCGCATTGAAAAAATCCAACATTTCTACCTGGGTAATCCTTTTTATCTGGCCATTGACCTCTTGGTGAAGCTACTCTAAACCAGGAAGCCCCCTTTAAAAAATGAGTGGCAATTGAAAACTGCCTATTCCTGCCACATTCACACACACTTCCACACAGAAACTGCCCCTACTTGCAGTCAGAGCTCATATAAACACATCACTGCTGCTTTGTTACCAATTGTATTTTCAATAAATTCTCCTTATTTTCTTTTTAGCTTCATTTACTTGAGAGGAAATCCATTTTTTTCTGTGTATATGGGTGCTCCAAATTTTAGGCAGTTTCAGCAGGTGCACAACTAAATACATAACTATTTAAATGAAAGCGTGTATAAATATCTGAATATCTAAACAATGACTAAACTGTTGGTTTTCAGTGAAGAATTACAAAATGCGTTCATTATGATTATTCATGAGTGTCGATAAAAGGGTTAAATGATAAAAAGTCAACTATTAGTTAAATTAGTGGGTCACATAAAACCATGAAGTGCAGGCCCCATTTTGAATACTGCTGACCTATACAGATGTCAAATACTATGACTGCATTTTAAAACTAGAGTACCGTCTTGATTTATTTTTTGGCATATATGATACTCTCGTTGTTTATCTCCATCTGTCTTCAGTGTCTTGAGTTATGACATAGAGCCAAGAAGTTGGGAAAGAATAGGAACAGAAAGACTATGAGCACAGATCTTATTTGGAAGGGAACCCTTGACTAAAACAATTTTCAGATAAACACTGCTTTAAATGGAGTCCACTGTATTGACATCTGTCCACTTGTTCTTTGTTCTTGCAGGTTAGGACTGTGTCACAGGCATCACAATCTAATCCTGAGGAGGAAGAAGGTGAGTGGTCTTTTGACATTACCTGGTTTCAGGAATACAAATCTTATACCTTTTAAAGATATTTATGTATTTATTTCCCAAGTAGATACCAAAAAAAGAAACGATCCAACGGAACCTTGGAGGACTGGCCATCGGGTCATTTTGACCCGATCTTGGCGTTCCGAGGGTTAAGGACTGGGAAGGTAAATTCATACAGGAAATGTTCTTCACATTTATGCCAACGGAACAAATACACTGCAGGTACTCTCACTATACTGTGCTTATATCTTCCCACTTCATGTTCAAGCATTCCTATTTCTATCACTCTCCATACCTGGGGATTGTAAAAAAAAAATGTGGGTGACACTTGGTATAGACTCAGAATTTTCTTTTCATTTTTTTGTTAGTACACAATGGTTGACACCTAAGTGAGAAGTTGACCCTTTATTGTATGGTGATTTTTACTATGTATCATAGAACTTCTTCCTCTCTTCCAAGCCTGGAAGAGGGCTGGCTGGCCCCCATCCCACAAGCCTGACACTCCCTACTTGGCTCAATCCATAAAACATAAATCTAAGCCATTTGTACAACTATCCTCACACAAATGTAAATCAAATACCTGTGATATACTCTTGGGGACCTACACAGAAGTGTGGGAGCATGATGATTGTTATTGTTCTCTCTTTATTTTTCATGCATTTTGCCTTTATGTATCTTTGTTTAGTCCAAGACACCAAGCTTATGCCTCTTACTTGCTGTCCTTACTTTCTTCAACTGAGACCTAGGCATGAGCCTAGTGGGTGGAAGAGATTGTTTATATATGTGTGAAGTGTTAACTGGATGTGGTATAAATGCAAAAGGCCCACAAAATTGATGTCTTCCTAACAACCAGGATCCACATGGATACAGGGCATGAATGTAAAACTGCAGCACAGGAACACTTACAACCAGTCAATTTATTATAAAGGGAGTAAATTCGATGTTTGGGAGGCATAAAGCCTCCTTTCTTGGGGAGTGAAAAATCTTGTCAAAAAAGAAAAATACAAAGAATATAGGAGGAACAAAAGGTGATGATAAATTTAAAAAAAGAGCAATATAAATATCAACTAAGAGTGAAGTCATGTGAGATAAAAAATTGTAATGATAGTTAATTAAAATAAAATTGGAAGAAGTAAGGTTGTGAAAAGGGTAAAAGAGTAAAGTATTGTTCACTGGATGTTAGATAGGTCACTAATTGTAGGAGTACTATTCCATTTAAAGTTTATTGGTTTTTATGAGTAGTGGAGTTGAATCTCCCAAAGCTTTTGAGATCCTTGCTCATTGTGCAGTATGCAATGCAATATGAAACCTTCACATGCCATGGCTAGTTGACTTCCTCCTCTTGTTTGAATGAAAGGCAAAAGTTTCACTTCTCTGTGGTGTACTTTTGCTTTCTCCTATGCAGAGGTGAAAGTTGCTTTGTGAAATGTTAGAGCTCCATATCAGAAAGCTTTCTTGTGAAGGCAATGAAGGAACAGTAGGCCTCTTCCATGCCAAAAAATTTTTCATTTTTATTTGTAATTTGACTTCCAAAGAAAGCTTTCTAATAATGATAATGCTTTGAAGAAATGTTTGAAAGTATTCCTTTAAAGAATTCTATTTTCTTAGCTATGCTATTCAAGAAGACTTGCCATTTTCCTGTTATTAATGCTGCCCCATCTCTCTTAATCTATTCATGTTTCTCAGAAATGCTTTCTTTATTTTTTCTGTTTCTTGTTTCATTATAGTGTCAGGCATTATTTATATTTTTCCATCTCTACATTCCACCAATTTGTATCTGATATGTCAAGAAGGCAGTACACAGTATATTCTTCCATTTTCCAAGTTCATATATTATCATAGGACAACAAATGTGTAAATGGGACAGAAGGGCCACAGAAACCTCAATCCCATGTTGTTCCATGTCCATTAATGGAGCAATCATTCCTGTTGGCATGTAACAGTTAATAGCTGCATCCTGCATGCTAAATATCATTGCTGTCAATGTGCTTGCATGGCGTTATCATGTAATTTTTTTTGTCTTGAGGTTTTTTGTTTTTCTTTATTCATTATTTGATGAATTTGTGATAGTGATTTAATGATTTATATCTGGTAATTAATTCTGTTGTGATGCAAATGTTTAGGCCTCCTGGAACTCAGGCATCATGGTTTTAGAGGTGGCATTTTAGAACAGGGATCAGGAAGGCTACTTCATAGTCATCAAGTTCCAAGTGTCCAATGGTTCAGTGCATGAAAGGGAATAGCAAAACAGGTTTTTTTCCTCCCCCCCTATCTGCTTTGAAAATTTCCCCATCAAACTAGAAAGGAATAAGTGCTGAGGAAAAGTAATGTTTTATTTTCATTCATTTTATCTCCCTATATCAGTAGTCCCCAAACTTTTTGGGTCAAGGGCCTCGTGGACACTCTGGTCTTGAGTGGGTCGCATTGAAAAGATCCAACATTTCTACCTGGGTAATCCTTTTTATCTGGCCATTGACCTCTTGGTGAAGCTACTCTAAACCAGGAAGCCCCCTTTAAAAAATGAGTGGCAATTGAAAACTGCCTATTCCTGCCACATTCACACACACTTCCACCTTGTAGTTACAGAAACTGCCCCTACTTGCAGTCAGAGCTCATATAAACACATCACTGCTGCTTTGTTACCAATTGTATTTTCAATAAATTCTCCTTTTTTTCTTTTTAGCTTCATTTACTTGAGAGGAAATCCATTTTTTTCTATGTATATGGGTGCTCCAAATTTTAGGCAGTTTCAGCAGGTGCACAACTAGATACATAACTATTTAAATGAAAGCATGTATTATAAATATCTGAATATCTAAACAATGACTAAACTGTTGCTTTTCAGTGAAGAATTACAAAATGTGTTCATTATGATTATTCATGAGTGTCGATAAAAGGGTTAAATGATAAAAAGTCAACTATTAGTTCATCTTAGTGGGTCACATAAAACCATGAAGTGCAGGCCCCATTTTGAATACTGCTGACCTATACAGATGTCAAATACTATGACTGCATTTTAAAACTAGAGTACCGTCTTGTTTTATTTTTTGGCATATATGATACTCTCGTTGTTTATCTCCATCTGTCTTCAGTGTCTTGAGTTATGACATAGAGCCAAGAAGTTGGGAAAGAATAGGAACAGAAAGACTATGAGCACAGATCTCATTTGGAAGGGAACCCTTGACTAAAACAAGTTTCAGATAAACACTGCTTTAAATGGAGTCCACTGTATAACTGTAGACAGGTGAACAAGAAACAAGAACGTCCAATCCTGACACAGTGTCCGTAGTGTTAGATTAGGACTCCTCCTTCTTCCACTCACCAGAAAACTGTAATGGACCAAAGTCCTTATGTTTAGAAAAAATGAGGTAGCAGAGATGTGTAGCAGAACTCTCTTAAAAATACGATATTTGTACGTAACCTGAAATTAATCACCGTTAAATCCCAGTACGGTTGGAATCATCAAGAATTCTCACACCATGGTTATACTGGTGGTCGTTAAGTAGATATTTTAAACTCCGCATACCAATAGGGCCAAGATCCCTGGGGGAAATGCACTGCTGTACATGTACAGCCTTGGTACAAAATGAGTTTAACTGTATGCTGAGTTTTAACAAATTGGAAAGGATGAAAGAGCTAAGGCAGTTGTTTAAGCCAAATAAAATCAATGATGCTCGTGCAACAGGTCATCAAAAATGCATCAGGTCTTCCTTTAAAATGGACATTATTTGAAGTACTGTGAATTAAAAAATAATTTTTGAAAATGTTCCCTAAAAGATTCAGATACTGCATCATATCTACTATTTTGATACTGATTTATGTCTGCAAGCATGTGAAGGTTCAGCTCTCAAAACTGATTGTATGATGTCAAGATGTCATTGGAGGAATTCTCTTTTTTTTATTGTTTGTTTTCATATGTCAGGAAGAGTTAAGCCCTGTTGAATCTGGGGTCAAAATCAGTTTATGATAGTCAACATGAAGTGGAAGTCTCTGAAAGTGAATGAATGGTGAAGGAATACATAATTGAGCTTTCCATTTTTTTTATTATAAAGTTACCTTCAAGTTAAGTTTCAACTGGATGGTGCATCACTACATTTTGACCAATTCACCAATTTTAGGCTCATGAACTTACATGACTAATCTATTGATTATTCATGGGGAGTGTATTGTTATAAGCAAGATCACCTGACACAACCCCACATGACTCTTTAGGGGAGGTCATCTGAAGTGTGTTATGTATTTTACCTTGCAAGGAATGTCTTTGATCTCAAGTCATACATATCCTTCCCAGTTACTTAAATCACAGAAGAAACTGAGAAAATTTTTTGAAACTCACCACTAGTAGTACCCATTTTGAAGTGTTAACACCTGACCTGTCTGTGATAGTTCATCTTCATGGTAGAATATATTTTTGTGCAAGTTTTGCAAGTATTGTAGTCTTAATTTTATCATGAGATAGGACACCCAATGGTGAAGCTATTCAGTTAGTAAGTATAATATTTGAGAAGCTAGGTAACTTCTTTTCAAGTGTTTGTGGGTTTTTTTTTCCACTTGTTTGTGGTAGTATTTACAAATTTTTCTGAAGTGAGTATTGCAAGTTGTGATAATTTATTTTTCATCCTGATGACAAATGTTTCCAACTTCTATTTCTTCACCTAGATTTGTCAAGTAACCTTCCTGCAACTCATCCTCATGTAGCAAGCCAGCCTCCGAAGACCCGTCCTCATAGAGGCCCACCAAGGGTAAGAAATTATTATGTTCATTTTTTTTTGCAATTCTATGTGTTGGTGAAGTCACATGAAGACATTTTCATATTCACAGTAGACTCAAGTTCAGGAGGAAATCATTTTGATTGATGAAAGTGATGACGGTAAATGAACAATTTAGTGAAAGGAAATGTTTATTCTTAAATCCATAAGCCAAAGAGCCAAGTTAGCCTGCCAGTTTTTCTTGTGCCATCAGAATCTTGAAATGTCCTTAACCTCCTTATAAAATCTTAGTGTTCCATCAAGCTTTCACAATAGAAAATTTTATCAAGCACAACATACTGCTGTGGCACACAGGCCAATGAATGAGAATGAGGGGGATACAATGCTATTGATGAGCCATTGTTGCAGACATTTAGGATTTGTAGTCAGTTTTTAACTCTTCCAGTCTGGGTGGGACTCAGGAGTTCTGCATTTTCTTCGCATGTATTATAGGGTTACACAGGAATGCACAACCTTGAGGCCATGGCAGGATTCTGAGTCCCAGTTTATAGTAGTTCACCTCATGTAGTCAAATTGACAGCAGTCCACAGTAACATCAAGCTGCTGTGTTTCCTCCTGCATTTCAAAAATGGTGTAATCTTTTGCATTTCTTTCAGCTAATATATTTATTTCCCTGGCAATTTTCTCTATGTTTTCACAATCTAGGTAATGGAAAGTTGTACAGGAATGGTGGGAAACATATCTGATTGGAAGGGGAGAGAGGGACGAGAGAAGTTGGCCAAGGAATGGCGCGTAAACCCTGACCAGAAGGGAGAGGGGCGAGATAAATTAGTGAAAGATGGGCGACAGAGCCCAGACCTGAAGAGGGAGGGACGAGAGAAGCGNGGTGCAACTCCTGACGGGGTTCTCTTTCGGCCGATGCTCCGGCGTCCACCCACTGACGTTTTCGTCGAATGTTGGCATAGAAGGTCCACTTTTCGTTGCCTGTCACCACTGAGTCTAGCCGATCCGTTCGGCGCGAACGTGACAGAAGGGAGATGGCCATGTCTACTCGTCGCTGGCGGTCCCGATCGTCCAGCTTGTGGGGTACCCAGCACCCCAACTTTGCCTTCTTGCCAAGCTCAGCCAGATGATGAAGGATAGTTGTATGGGAGACACCCAGCAAGTCCGCAAGCTCTCGCGATGTTTGTTGGCCTCCAGTGCCTCCTGCAAGGCAGAGTTATCAAACTCCGAAGGACGACCGGTGCGTGGCTGGTCTTCCAGGCTTTCATTTCCTTTCTGGAAGCGACTGTACCAATCATAGGCAGTGCTCTTGGACACAGTGTCCGGGCCAAACGCGGTATTGATGTCGGCGATGGAATTGGCTGCCTTCTTCTTGATTCAGAAGTCATAAAGAAGAAGCAGGCGAACTTGCTCCTTAGTAAGAGGGTAGGGCTGGTTCATGGCTGGAGAGCACCAGGGCTGTAATAATATACGGTTGTATGCCGAAGGACACGACCTACTTATAAACACACGCAGAACATTTTAGCATGCTCTGGAAAAAAATTGTACTGGATATTCAAGAAATTCCGAGAACTTTCTTTCCAATCAGATACAATGTGAAATAGGGATATGAGTACTAGCTGAGCTAGTCAAGGGGTTGATGCAAAATTAACGACCGTTTTTTATTGATTCTAAATTTTTTCAACAATACAACACCAAAGTACACTCAAAACATGTTTAAATGGTTATTCTGGAGCATAATCGCCATCTACTTCAATAACTGCTTCCCATTTGCTTGGCAAATGATCGATTCCACGTGCAAAAAAGTGACGATCCTTGGATGCAATCCACGCTTTGACGTCAGCGACAAGCTTGTCCAAATCATCATAGACTTTGCCCGTCTGCCAATTTTTGAGCGAACAATTGACGTGGTAGTCTGTAGGAGCTTCAGTGGGAGAATATGGTGGGTGCTCAAGCAATTCCCATCCTTTGTCGTTGATTGATTGGATTACTCGATTTTCTACACGTGGCCTGGTGTTGTCATGGTGAAACACGATGTGGTTCTTCTTGCGAGGGCGTTTGGCTTTGATGGCGGCTTCTAAGCGATCGAGTTGAGCCAGATAGACGTCGCTGTTAATGTTGTGCTGCTTTTTCCCATTTCTGTCAGGAATAGGCCATTCATGCTTCACATCGTTGTCGTCCCACCAATAACAGAAACTTTGTTGGTGAACTTTAGCGATGATTTCCCAATGAACAATCCCAGAGCTGTCCCACCATACACACCACATGGCCTTCTTGCTGTGAACGTCATTTGGAATGCGTTTTGGAGATTGGCCACGGTTAACGCACACCTTCTTTCTCTTGAAGTTTTTGAAGAGTAACCATGACTCATCGCCAGTGACGAAGAACTGGAGAAATGGATTTTGCTCATTTCGCTGAAGATGAGGACTCGCTCGGCCTTGTTGTCATCAGAGAGTTCGTGTGGGACCCATCCAGCCAATTTCCATACTTTTCCGAGCTTTTTGAGTCGCCTGACAATGGTGGACTGGTCAACATCAAATTGCTCTGCCAACATCAGTGTCGTCAAACTTTTGTCTTCTTCCACCGCTTGCAAAAGAGCTTGATCATCAAAATCAGACTGACGACCTCTTCCTTCCTCATCTTCTAAGCTTGTGTTGCCGGATTTGAAACGATTGAACCATCTTCGGACTTGTCTTTCACCAATTGTTCCTTCACCGAAAAGTTAGTTGAGATCGCGAAATGCTTCATCGGCAGTGTGACCTTTCTCGAAGTGATAAAGCATGATATGACGAATATGAGCATGGTTATTGACATGTATTCTTATTAAAATGGTAAGGAATATTATTATGAAGAAAGATTGAGACAAAATGCTGAATTTGAAAGGGACTGAATGCTGAATTCGAAGGGGACTAATAAAAACGGTCGTTAATTTTGCATCAACCCAATATAATAATTTAAGTAATTAATTTATAAAAATTAATAATTAAATCAATATTTATTTTACTTAAGGAAACCATTTTAAAAGCACTTTTATTTTATATGAGCCTTGTTGAGCCCAAAAAGTATTTGACATTTTTTTTCAATTCTTAGAACATAATTCAGGTCTGAAAGGGAGGGTTAAACAAAGGCCACTGTGGAGGTACCTCAAGTAGGTACACCACCTAATAGTCCTGTAAAAGCCCCTAGAAATTTAAAAATGGAAAAGTTGGAAGTCTCCACCCCATTGAAGTTGAATAATTGATCTACTTTGCCTGAAACCATACCCTTCATCTATGTCAGATGGGAACTGGTCCTTGGCTTCATCCATGGTCAATGAAAGTTGCTGGCCTAATGTAACTGCACCCGTTTTGTTATGTGTCCACCCCCCCACCCCCTCCCCCATCCCTTTCTCCAGTATTTCCCCACTTCTATTTTGTCAACTCCATCCTGGGTTAATTAGGCATGGACATATAGACCTTATCTTTGTTTGCCATGGGATCCCATCCCTTGTATGAGAAGGGAGCAAGATTCCTGAAGCAGGATCAGGACCCTGTTAGTAGTGGAAACACATATAATATTCACATCATTAGCACATTCACTACCATAGACTGCTATAGCCGTTTTCACAAATCCGTTCGATTCAGGATGGGATTCCAATATTAATGAGTAGCTTCACTTTAGGATGTTACTAAGCAGTAAACTGTCCATGAGGATCCCTCACCTGAACTCCTTTACAGTGTCAACCACATATAAGCCTCATATGCGTAAAGAGTAAAAATTAATATGCAGTTAATTACAGGTCTGCACAAAGGGAGTGACCATTTGCCAATATCAGAATCTCATTCTTGTCTCCATATACTCTTCTTTTTTCCCCTGAGAATGCATTTTCCTTGCATCTTTCATTCTCTCCCTCACTTTTTCTTGCATAATAATATGACTCCTGTTTCCATTTTGACAACGAATTGTAACCTCAACATGTTGAATTCTAAATCTGGGGAAAGAAATTGGGAATGAAGAGGAGAAAGTGGGGATCCACAATGGATTAGCAGGCAATAATAGGTTTAAAAATTTAGTATCACAGATTTGTCCCAAATTTTTTTCTGCAAACATAGGAACCCAGACTTGTGGATAATTAATAATATTTTGTAAATGGTGAGAACAAAAATATCATTTTGATACTGTCAAATTGACTACATCGTAGTTGTAGCAACACAAATGACGAGATTTTCATGCGTTTCATAAATGGCTACTACTAGCATTATGAACAAAGTAGCACCTGAGATCTACTTGGCTTCAGGAAAGAGTAAATCTGTGGAATTGCGAGATTGATTTTGCAAAGATTTGGGGTTCAAATCAGTGAAACATTGTATACTTCCTTGAAAGATGCTGTGCGGAGACATCTTGATTGAAGATTTCTTCCTGTGCTACTCTATTATTGCCTGACTGTGGGATCTACAAGTGAACATCAACCTTAGAGCAAATTCCCATCCTTAAACTAGTTCAAAGGAAACAGCTGTAGTAACTGGTTTCCAAAATCTTAATTCTTCTTGTTTGTTTATGTAGGTTGGAGCCATGTTGCAAG